AGTGATGCGTTGGGCAATCGGGGCAGTATGCGCACCTATAATGGGCGTACCACGCAGAGTTCGGGCGCTCAAAATCTTGCAAACGACATGGAACGAAATGGAGCCGCTTGTTGTGGGTGTGGAAAAATGTTCTAATCTAGAGGACTAGCAAAAAATAATTGCCACCAGTGGTGCTGTACGCCCATGTGCAGCAGCATCGTCCGCACCGACTCCACCACCGTCCTCATCTCCCGCTCCGCCATGCCATTCTGTTGCGGGGTGTAAGGGCAGGTCAAGTCGTGAACGATTCCCTTGCTGTCCACGAAGGCGGTGATGTCCTTTCTGAGGAACTCCCCTCCGCGGTCAGAACGCAGTTGCAGCACCGAATGCTTCGCCTGCCGCTCCACCAGCACCAGCCACTTCTGGAACTCCAGCAGCACGTCCGACTTCTTGGCGACCGGCCTCACCCACACATAGCGGGTCTTGCGGTCCTTCAGCAGCAAGAAGTACAGGCTGCCGTCCTTGGCAGCCACGCAAAATGGCCCGCACAAATCGATGTGCACGACGGCCAGGACGTCGTCGCCTTCGGAGCCGTGGTCGGGGAAGGTGTGCCGCGCCAGCTTCCCGCCGACGCACGAAACACACGGTGAGTCGGCGCCAGACGCCGACTGGAGGTCCAGCCCGGTGGCGACCCCGTACTTCGCCGAGCTCCGTATGGTGTCCATGCCAACATGCGCAAGCCTCGCGTGCAGCCTGTTCGGGGTTGCCTTCGTCGCCGAGACTATCGCCCGCAGAGCCACCTCCACTTTCGCGGGCGTCGCCGATTTGACTCGCGCATAGGCGCAGGTCAGTGCAGAGGACCCGGCCAGTGTACGTCGCGCGACCGAGCACGTCCCCCGCCGCGGAGACGAGCAACATCCGGTCGCAGTCGTCCTTCAGCGTCACCCCGCTCTCCTTCAGCTAGCCAGCCGAAAGCAGATTCGCCTGCACGTCCGGGACGTAGAGGACGTCGGAGATGAGCACACCGCTTTCCGGCCTTCCCCTGCAGAGCAACCGTGCCACGGCCGCGAACGTCCTGCAGCGCCCCATTGAAGCTGCGCGCGTGCTTCATGTCGCCGCTCGGCCCCAAGTCGACGAAGGCCTCTTTCGTCCCCATCAGGTGGTGCGAGCAGCCGCTGTCGAGCAGGACCACCGCGGGGTTCGCTTGCACAGCTGCCGCCACCGCCTGGAAATCCTTGCCAGCTTCCGGCGCCAGCGAGACGGTCGGCTCTATGATACCGACTAGCGAGCACGACGCCTCCTTGTCGCCTCGCCCTTTGCCACCCGCGGAAGAGTCGGCGTCCTTCGCCGAGGTCGACTTCGTCGACTGCTTCTCCTTTCGCGGCTGGTTTCCTCGACGTGGACGACGGCTGCTAGACCTCCCGCGGCCTCCCTTGGTTTCGTCGTCGTCCAAGTCACTGCGGTCGGGGACACTCGAAGGAGAGGTGATCGGGATCGCCGCACAGCCAGCATTCCCGACGGCGACCTCCTCCTCCACGACCGCCATCCTTGGCAGACTTCTGCTTGTCGGCGTCCTTCGCCGGCTTCCCGCCACCGCGGTGACTGCCACCAGACTGCCCGCGCTGTCCCGGTCGACCACCTTGCTTTGCGGGGGCGACGTAATTCACTTGCGCGAGGAGCTCCTGGGACCGCTCAGCCTCCTGCATCGCCTCGTCCTGCAGGATGTACGAGGTCAATGTGTCCTCGTTGAGCATCGCCCGCGTGCTCGGCGCCATCGACAGCCGCTTCAGCAGGTTATAGCTGCTCGGGAGTCCCTGCACGACGTGTGTGACGTACGACGACGTGGAGTAGTCCGCGCCAGCCATCCGAATGGTGGCGAGAATTCGCCGAGCTCGGTTGTAGTAGTCAGTCGCGGTCTCCTCGTCGCCGATACGCAGGTGCGTCAACTGCCCCTCAAGCTGGGCGATGAACAAGTCGTCGGTGACCTGGTAAGTTGACTCGATGAAATGCCACGCCCGGTGGCCGGCGTCGAGGTACTCCCTGCACGACTTCAGGGCGATCTGTACGCCCGGCGAGCAGCACCGCGAAATGACCGTAAAGGTCAGCAACTGCACGGCGCGAAATTCCGCTCGCAAGTCGGGGTAGTGCTCCTCCAGCGTCGCCACGGTCCCGCGGGCGAAGCCCATCAGCCCGGCCATCTCCAGCTGGGGCTCGATGGCTTCCTTCCACGTGAGGATGTCGGGACGACCGACCAGCAGAGGGGTGACCGAGATCTTGTCCGGCGTAAACTTGAAGTAGCTGTAGCTCGGCGCTATTCCTCCCGCGGTCATGTGTGTCGCCAACATCGGCGCCAATTCACTTCGTCTGCCTCCGACGTAGTTTCGCGGGGCCCCTGCAGCTGTCGATGACTGCATCCATCGCGCCTGAACGCCGCCGACTTCATCGGCGTGAATCACACCTCGCTGCCTCGATATGCCTCCCGCGCTGCTACCGACTTGGTCACCCGCGGCGTTGATTCCCGCGTCGACGCCGCCTGCGTCGTTCACGGTCGAGGAGATGCAGGCCGAGAAGGGGGGTGCTCCGCCGCCCACAAGGCGCGGATGCCAGCCTCGACCACCGTCAGCGGGAGAGTTCCGTACTCGTTCGCCGCATGACGTCTCCTCGCGTCCTCCAACCGTGCTTCCAAGGTGTCCACGACACCCGCCTCTACTACGGGGTCCACCATGGCGTCCAACACAGCCGCTGGTCTACGAACAAACGAGGTGAGTGAGAAGTCAGCTAAACCGAAGGTTTCTTCGCGGTGTCGTCCACGCTCACCGCACCATGCGAAGATAACTAGTGCAACGGGAGCTAGACTACGGGCTAGGCACGGGGCAAGAGTGATCGTAGCGTTCGTTCGTTCCTTAGGTCGTTTCCAAGTGCTAACAATGCTTGCTAGTTCACGGGGAAAATTGGCAAGAGTTTCACTAGGAAAACCTGACAACAAAAGTTCAGAATGATTGCATCAACGTTGGCAACACAGACTACATCAGACCTAGCAAGGCTGCTGGTTGACTGCCAGCGCAGCACGGTTGACCGCGTGCCAGCACGACTTGGTCGACCGCGCTCCAGCAGAGCAGAGTTGCGGCTTGCCAACATTGCAAGTCCGCGGCGTGCCAACGCTGCAGTAAGTCGGCTGCACAGCGTTGCACCCGCCTGACAATGGTGCACCAGCTTCGCAGGTGCGTGCAGCTGGTTGGCGCCCAACTCCCCGTCACATGCCCAGCGCAGACACTCCACCCATGACGGCGCCCACCAGCCACGTCGACCTCGGGATACCACCCCGAGGTCGTACTCGCAGAAAAACACCCCCGGCAACATTCGCGCGCGTCGCCCGGGTATCCTGGTTGACCGGGTATTTCGCGGTCCTCCTGCGGTTTCGCGGCTCCCACGGTCCTCCTGTGGTTTCGCGGCTCCCACGGTCCTCCCGCGGTTTCGCGGCTCCCACGGTCCTCCCGCGGTTTCGCGGCTCCCACGGTCCTCCCCCGGTTTCGCGGCTCCCACGGTCCTCCCGCGGTTTCGCGGCTCCCACGGTCCTCCCGCGGTTTCGCGGCTCCCACGGTCCTCCCCCGGTTTCGCGGCTCCCACGGTCCTCCCGCGGTTTCGCGGCTCCCACGGTCCTCCCCCGGTTTCGCGGCTCCCACGGTCCTCCCGCGGTTTCGCGGCTCCCACGGTCCTCCCCCCGGTTTCGCGGCTCCCACGGTCCTCCCGCGGTTTCGCGGCTCCCACGGTCCTCCCGTGGTCGGCTCCGCCCAAGCGAGGACGGGGCCAAACACAACTCCCGTTGACAGCAAGAGCGTGGAAGGGTGACGAGCATGATCGGTCATGGGTACTGGCGAATGAACCATGCTTGCTGCATTTTCTGCACATGTGCGGATCCTTCCGTGTTTTGGGGATGAAAACGCTCGTTTCGAGCGTTTTTCTTCCGTTCAGTCACGCGGGTGTGTGCGGTTGGACCTATTACCAAGCCAGCAAGAGCGTGGGAGGGTGACAAGCATGATCGGTCATTGGTACTGGCGAATGAACCATGCCTGCTGCATTTTTTGCACATGTGCGGATCCAAATCATTCTCTGTAGAATACAGTGAATACCATAATTTTCTTTCCTTTCCACTGCATTGTACCATTTCCCACCCCCCTAGCAGGTTCTAACCATTTGGATCAATGTAATTCGGCAGATATTGGCATTCCTGTTGTGCATTGTCCCTGCACCACAGGCGCGCGTACTGTCCAAACTGACCAGCGCATTACTTATGTTGGTAGAGATGCAGTTACTACCATTTTCTTGCCAGTCCACTCAATTGGGCCTTGTACTTTAACAACACCATGCAGGGTTGAAACGCTCATATTTTGCAAAATATTGGAATAAAAATAAATCACATGGCAAGAAGGTAAAAAAATAGTCTTATCTTGTGAACTAACCTAGTACAAACGGCATCCACTTCGTATGGTCAATCAAAGTGATGAATTGATCAGTATGGTCGGCATGCGCATTTGTAGGGAGCGATCCCGGCAGAGTTAAAACGCTCATATCTTGCAAAATATGGAATGAAATAGAATCACATGGCAAGTAGGTAGAAAATGGTCTAATCTAGTGAACTAACATTATACAGAGAGCATCCACTTCGTGTGACCAATCAAAGTGATGCATTGATCAGTGGCGTCAGTATGCGCACATGTAGGGAGCGTTGAAACGCTCATATCTTGCAAAATATATGGAATGAAATGGATTCCCATGGCTTGTAAGTAGAGAATAGTCTAGTTCAATGAACTTACATAATACAAAGGGCATCCATTTCGTATGGCCAATCAAAGTGATGGATTGATCAGTTTGGTCGTTATGCGCATTTTAGGAGCGTACCAGGCAGAGTTCAAACGCTCATAACTTGCAAAATATATGGAACGAAATGGAATCACATGGCAAGTAAGTAGAAAATCGTCTAATCTACTGAACTAACCAAATACGAAGGTCATCTAGTTCGTATGGCCAATCAAAGAGATGCGTTGATCAGGGTGGTCGGTTTGCGCATACGTAGGTAACGTACCAGGCAGGGTTGAAGCACTCATATCTTGCAAAACATATGGAATGAAATGAAATCGCATGGCAAGTAAGTAGAGAATAGTCCAATCTAGTGAACTAACCTTAAACAACGTATGGCCGATCAAAATGATGCATCGATCAATGTGGTAGGTGTGCGCACGTGTAGGGAGCGTACCAGGCAGAGTTGAAACGCCCCATCTCCCATTCAATATATCCCATTCCCCATTTCACATTCCCCATCTCCCATTCCCCATCTCCCATTCCTCATTTTCCATTCCCCAACTCCCATTCTCTTCCCCAACTCCCATTCTCCATCTCCCATTCCACATCTCCCATGCTCCATCTCCCATTCCCCATCTCCCGTTTTCCATCTTCCATGCAACATCTCCATTCCCCATCTCCCATGCCCCATATCCCATTCCCCATCTCCCATTCCCTATCTCCATTCCCCATCACCCATGCCACGTCTCTCATTCCCCATCTCCCATTCCCCATCTCCCATTCCCTAACTCCCATTCCTCATCTCCAATGCCCCATCTCCCATTCCCCATCTCCCATTCCCCATCTCCCATGCCCCATCTCCCATTCCCCATCTACCATTCCCCCCATTCCCCATCTTCCATTCCCCATCTCCCATTCCCAATCCCCCATTCCCCATCTCCCATTCCCCATATCCCATTCCCCCCATTCCCCATCTCCCATTCCCCATCTCACGTGCCCCATCTCCCATTCCCCATATCCAATTCCCCCCCTATTTCCCATCTCCTATTCCCCCTCTCCCATTCCTCATCTCCCATGGCCCATCTCCCATCCCCCATCTCCCACTTCCCATCTCCCATTCCCCATCTCCCATTCCCCATCTCCCATTCACCATCTCCCATGACCCATCTCCCATTCCTCATCCCCTTTTCCCCATCTCCCATTCCCCATCTCCTATCCCCCATCTCCCTTACCCCTCTCCTTTTCCCCGTCTCCCATTCCCCATCTCCCATGCCCCACCTCCCATTTTACATCTCCCATTCCCCATCTCCCATTCCCCATCTTCCATTACCCATCTCTCATGCCCCGTCTCCCATTTCCCATCTCCCATTCCCCATCTCCCGTTCCCATCTCCCATTCCCCATATCCAATTCTCCGTTACAGTGAAACTGCGAAATTAATGCGGTCTGTATCGTCGGTGACATTAGTAGCATTTGCAAAAACCTCCACGCCGAAAGGGGGGGAAGGGAAGGGGGGGGGGGGGGGGTTCGTCGGCTTTATCTTGATAATTGTTGTGACCGCCGCCAGAGCTGCTACTACTTATGTTGGTACTATTGTTGGTGCCGGCCTTATCTCTGCAGCGTCAATCGACTACTTAATCTCACTGAAGACGGCCTCGTTCGGTGTGGTGCTCCGACTGCCTTTTATCCATGGTGGGCGAATCCTGTCGCGCTTCACCTCGCGTCTGGCGTAGCTCGGTATTGTCTTTCCTCATGCGCTCGACCTTCATCGACAATTTCTGCATGTTGGCCCGCATCGCCTGGAACTGTTGCATGTTTCTCAGACTTCGCCGAACGCGAACGGGGCTATTAGCGTCTTTTATGACTTCGATGAAGACACGAACGATATCATAATCGGAGTGGAATTCTCATATCCCTTTCACAGGTCGACCCCTTCGTTGCCTACTAAATCTATCGCTCCCCTCCCACAGATTACCCCTGGAAAGGCGATGATAACATAAGAAAGTAGCTTTATAACCAAGTGTTGATAATGAAAAGAATGTGCGAAAGTCAATCTAAAAATATTGATTTCAAATTTTATGGAAATAATGAAGCCTAGAAATGATATGGAAAAGGGCTAGCTAGGCGGGGCCTCGGAATTGCGATGTTGGGTGCTGGTTCGGGTTTCTCACATCTGAATGTAACTTGAATTACGATCGGGATGCAAGGTCGTCCGACCGAGGCTGGTCTTCCGAAAGTTTGCGTTGTACGCGTATGATACTCAAGAAAGGAAATAGGAAAAATCCTTAGATATACTGCTATTCTATGGAGGCTGTGGGGATGCAAAAGGCAGCGAAATGAAATGCATGATTCACTCGGTCTATGCCCCAAATCTCTGAGTGACTGTCACGGGCGTCAGGTGTACACTCGGGCTCCAAACTCCAGGGTGACGGAACGCACAAGGTGACAAACTGCTGACAGATTCAAAAAAACTGTCTTGATTCCTTCGTAAAGAAGCGTCCCATGAAATTTCGCTGCTTCGCTGGTTTCGACGAAATGAAGGGTGGTCGTTTGTTCACTTGTGTGTTTTCCACCATCCTTGATCCTTTAACGAGGGTAGGAAGAGATTGGGGTTCAGCGTGGGATCCTTTGTATGAGGAGCCATGCCCATTACTGGCAGTTCAGCGTGGGATCTATTTTCACAACGCCAAATTTGTACCTCCCACCACCCCCTTCCCCACTCTGCCATAACAACAATGTTTTTCTAAAGTTTGAAGAACCCATCCCGTCTCGTGTTTGAAGTATATTACAGCCCTCATAATGTTCGTCTCTCTGCTTTCTACCTAGGGACTACCCCACCTGCCGTTGACTTGGAGCTGCTTGGACCCTCTTGAACAAGTCTTGTCCTCAACCCCAGTTCAGGGAGCAACTTGTCGCGGCGGAAAAAAACGTCGCTGGAATGGTTGGTGGTCAGGTCAGGTCAGGTCACGGCGGGGTGCTTCCATGTGGCCAAGGCCTGGTTCCTGTTGATATTTTTAGTCGCAAAAGTTCGCTGGTTAACACTGGAAGTGACTACGACCTGGCATAATTGTCGCAAATATGCGTTAATGTTCGTGAAGCGTTACTGTTGTCACAAATGGTCCACCGTAGTCACTTCCACTATTCCGTGGAGGGGGGTAAAAGAAGGGGAGGAACGAACTCCGAGAAATTCAAAATGCTTGTGGTGAACTCCCTCCAGATTGGCGACGGAACGGAGTGGTGCACGCACCGAATCCTGCTTGCAAGTCGTCAAATGCGAGCCCACGTCACGTCGTCCTATCTGAACCCTTGTTTGTGCACAGTGCGACAGTGCCAGCCGCCAGAATCTGAAACAGAATCTGCACACATGCCCAGTGGGAAGAATCAACCCAACAGTGCAGCCTTTTTGGCAGGATACGCACACCCACCACAGCCACAGCCAGCTTTTCTCTGTACACGAAGCTATACTTTGAAGGCGTTCGTGTAATTTCACGACCACGACATTGGTGTGACCGAATGGAGCTGTAAATTCAATATGCACTAGGTTGACTTCCTCGCACCTGAGGCCGATTGCCAAGGGGGCTGGGAATGTTTCATTCACAACACAGCAGAACTACACCGCGTCTAGACAGGTGTTACCAAGTTGATGGTCCTAAATTGCAACCCACAGCTTTCCCCCCTTACATGCCAGGCTGGCTCCTAAATCACTACTACGTCGTATGGGCCTTGCACTGCCCTGCAATCGAGCATGACGACGGGGCAGGCCTTTTTCCATTGCTGGCGCAATCGCCACTCAACAGAACGCAATGACGACTCGTCATTCCGAATCATGCTTCCCGCAACCGTTTTGTCAGGAGCAAGTTTCACTCTGGCAAGTGAGTCGAGGAGCAGGACTCACGCGAAACGATACCTTGGGATTTAGCACGAGTGTTAATGGTAGAAGCTCGTCCGGGGTCTTCAGTGAAATTCCGCGCAGCGCAAGACGTGCAGTGAGAACCCATGTGGCGTGGAGCGGAGTGCAAAGAAACACACAAAGCAGCACGGATGGCGCCGCGTGCACGCCGATCCCAGTCGCCGCTTTAATGGTGACGGGCGTGACGAACGACCGCCATCACGTTACAGAATGCACGGAGCTGTCACATGGTGCGATCATGGGGTCGGACAATGATGGTGATCATCTGACTGCCGGTTCGTGGTAGTCCCGCCGTGTGGGCGCGGCAGACAGAGTTAGACTGCATTGAGATTGGTGATGCTCGGCGGTCACTCACCAGCTGCACGAATTCCACCTGCGGTCGCGGGTGCAGGAGCGCGGCGCGCTGTTCTCGAGGCGCCGTGGGTGCATGAGGCGGTTAGCAGAAGGTCCAGAGAAGTTACAGTGCAGAAAGGAAGACACGATGATGAAGTATCGGCCGCACAATTCACCGTCTCCGACAACGTGACAGGCACGCACGGGAACCGCTGGCCCACTCCACTTCCCGCCCACCCCGCGGACGCCGCAGCGACGGCAGGGCTGGAGGCTCTCGTTGAACGCTGCCAATGGCGCCCGCAGCGACTGGATCCGCCCTCCACCCGCGACGGCGGGGAGGCAACGGTGACCCTCAGCGAAGCGCGGCCGTATGATGCAGAGGCAAGGCCTTACGCAGGAGTGGCTGGCGCCGCAATTGAAAAGCGCAGCGCAGCTGCGAGCAATGCTGGGGCGGCGGCGTTGGCCGAATTCTCTGCCAATACGACTGCAGCCGGTACTACCGCCCCGTCTCGAATGCGCGAGACTTGCGGTGCGCCCCAGGCAGGTAGCGATACGATATCAGCACACCGGCGGTTGAATCTTGAAGCGCTGCAGTTGGAGGGAGAGCACGATCTGAACGCCGGCCTGCCGCTTACTCCCTCGCAACAGCCAACCAACGATTCGCCCGTAGCAACAACGGCGGGTGGGAGAGACGCCACTTCAGACGCGATTGGACGAGCCGCGCAAGTTATGGGCGAGGCCGGTTTGCAGCGGTGGTACGAGAATCCTGGCGTGTGCACATCCATGAAGCAGCTGCCGGAGGACGGCGTGTGGATCCCGCGGGGCACACGGCATATCAGGACCACCGCTACTAGCAATTTGCACCTCACTGATCGCTTTATCCCAGCAAGCCCGAGAAGCCTCCCCGCCATGTTGCTGTCCTCTCGTGCTGGTGCGGCACGTGGCGATTTCTCTGTCCCGAGGGGCAGCACGAAGAGCAACAACAGCAGCAGCAACAACAGCAGCTGCAGCAGCAACAGCACGAGCAAGCAGGACGGGGGACGGTTCGGCAGCCTACTTGGAGGCGCCCCTACAGCCGTGCACGCTGCTGTTTCCAATCAAAGCACGCACTTGAACTTTCCTCCTGGCCTGCGTGATCCTAAGAACGTGGGTGCAACGGTAGGGGCGGGTAGTTCAGTGAATGCAGATGATGGCGGCGGTGGAGCATGGGGTGACGGGCAGCTACGGGCAGTGCACGAAGCACGCACAGGTGTGGACGCCACGACAGTTGCGATCGCCAGCAATCTCGCACATGATAGATTCGTCTTCGCTTCTCCACCATCGCGTGCACAGCATCCTGTGCCGCAGTGTAGTTTACCAGTTCCCTGCACCATCTTCACCACAATGCCACATGAGGACTCATCCCAGCCTCTTACTGCCGCACGCACAGCTACAGCACATCCCACGACACCCGCCGACGGCCCTATCTTCATACCTCCTCCGCCCCGCTCTCCGCGCCCCTCCTCTGCCCCCCCACTGCTTCCCTCGCTCACTGCCCGCCCTCTCCCTCGGGCGCTGCAGGCGTGGGCAGTCCAACGGCCCGCTCCAGGCTGCGCTTCACCTCTCATTCCCTGCCACGCGCCAACTCCGGGGGAGGGGGCAGCACGAGTGTGCTCCACAGCACGCACAGCAGCAGTGGCAGCGACTTGGCGTCGTCCCACGTGCATTCGCTCAGCCCCCCACTGCGTGCATCTGTGCACGCGTCTCTATCCTCTCTGCCGCGCGCGTCCCTTGACCACCACGCAGTCCCTGCTCTCTCACCTCGCCTGCATGCTCGCCCACTCGCAGCCCCACGCCACCTGCGCATCCCCTGCTGTCGGCCTTGCCTCACAGATTGGCCGTCCCATGGCATCCTCCCGCCTCTGCTCCTGCTCCTCCGCCTGCTGCTGCTCCTCCTGCTGTTGTCGCTGATGCTGCTCTGGCGAAAGAAGTTCAGGAGGAGTTGCAGGAGGCCACTGGACAGCAAGCTCCTCCCATCAACACTGCTGTTCCCCTCTCTCCCCTCTCATCCCTCCCTGCTCTCCCTTATGCCCACGCATCCCCTCGCACTGCCTCGCACCAGCACCTGGATCGAGTGGGGTGGAGTCGCAGAGGGCGGCAGCAGCAGCAGCAGGCGTGGCGGCCTCTCCCTCCGGAGAACTTCATCCCGTGGGAGGCCATCTATGGCCCGTATACGCACACCTCCACGGGCCTCGCTGCTGCTGTTGCTGCCGCCATCGCTGCCCCTTGCACAACTGCCACAACCTCCGCTGCTGCTGCTGCTGCTGCTGCTCCCACCGGTGCTGGTGGTGCTGCTGTTGGTGGTGCCGCCGCAGTTGGATTTGCTGGTGGAGCAGCAGCATGGGTCAACACTAGTGGTGAAGGTCACGGTTTGGCAGGGACGGTGGCAGCAACACGTGTTGCTGCTGCCTATCCATTCCGCTACCCGTCATCCACACGCCCTGCAGCAAACACGCCTGAGCAGCTGCACTCCCATGCGAGGCACATGGGCGCACAGTCGCAACTAGTGAGAGCTAAGAGCGCAAGTGACTTCAGCAGCCCCTTGCTTGGGAGCGAAAGTCCTGAAGCTGTGGCAGCTGTGGGCGGCCTTCCAGTCACATTCTCGCCTGGGTCGTGGGATGGTGCAGCTGGTCGCCTTCACACCCATATTCACGCCACAACTGCACGCATGGGTGGCCCGGTGCTCTTCACTGGCAATGCGTCCCTGCTTGCCAAGAGGCGCAGAATGTCCCCTCAGCAAGGGGCACCCGCACCACCTGCATCCTCTCTGCAACCCGCACGCATGTTTCCCCGCCCACAGGAGCATCTCAATGCCCTGCCACTACCACCTGCTATTGCTACAAATTACCTTGTAGAATCACACCCCCGGCAGCAGCAAAACTCTAGCGCGCTTGACTCGAGTATTCACGCTGGTTCTCTGCCACGGCAATCACCTGCTCAGCTGTCTCCCCACGCACTGCTTCCAGCATGCTCCGGCAGCGCCCTCGCTCCTGCAGCACACCTTTTCTCCACTGCCGGCATCCCTTTGCTGCACCACCATCCCCATCGCTTCATCCCTCGCCTCTCTGTGGCACCACTGCAGCAGCAGCAAGCCTTAGTGGCAGTGTTTCTGGCTCTGACGAGAAATGTGTTGACCTCTGCGCGACTGCAGCACCCTTCCAGGGCTTGCTAGGTGCAGGATCAGGAGGGGAGATGCAGCAGAGGGGGGACGTGTTTGTGCGGTCTGTAGAGTCAAGGGGGGCACACGCAGAGCACAGGGCGAGGGCCACTGTGGGGGGGCAGCATGGAGATGCGTAGAGGAGGGAGGGCAGGAGGCGGAGGAGCAGTGGAGGACGTTGTGGCACAGCTGGAGGACGATGAGACGCGCACCAGCTGTCCATTCATGTAAGCTGCACGGGATGCACGCCAGTGCTTTGGGCCCAGCAATGCCATCCCTTTGTCTTGTTGCGTGACATGATTACTCATTCTCGAAACATCGTCCCATCTATTCCCTTCTACGTGTGTCGTGCTCTCAACAGGAACAACTGGTGCGGATCCAGAACGAGTCGAGCAGCAATGGAGGCTCTACCATGGTAGCTGTGGGCGTGCCTCATGTGCAGGCAGCCATGTCCATGACCATCAACCCTGAAGCAGCAGGGGTGCGAATCTCAGCAGGAGCCCAAACAGACAACACCTATGGCATTTTTTACCCTACTGGCAACACGGCAAACTAGCACTGGTTCCATGGACACAGCGTGTGTGGGATAAGAGCGCGCGCTGCAGGGTGGACAACTCGTTGGGATGTGTTGTTCTGGTGCTGTGCTCCCCCAGCGCCCAAATTTTGGCTCAGACCCATTTCTAGCGCAGGAGGCCAGAGAAGAAGCATGCTCATCCAGCTAACCTACCGTATTTTTCCCAAGTCTCATCATTTTTGCTCCATAATGGAGATTTTGTTGTTGAAGTTCATCTATTTTTAGGAGATCTTCATATGGTAGGTAGTAATACATGTTAGTAGGTGCTACCGTAAATTAATAATAGCTTTACAAGTAGGTACCGTATCCGCCTCCCCATCCAGCAGCTGGCGCCCTGAACTGGATTGGAAACACAAACAGACTTGCAGGAACACAACCTTACATCTATAGCTATCTAACAACTTTACTGAGTTCCAGAAACGTACGGTACTCTATATTTGATCAACAGCAGCAATCGCACTTTCCTTAAACCTGCCCTCTACCGTAAGCCGTGCCCTCTTCTCATTCCCTTCCCTCCAAAACAATATTTCGTTCCAGAGTAGCGCAGGCGAAGACAACTCAAAGTTGCTGAAAAGCAGATGCTTGGACTGCAGCTTGCGTTCTTTACCAATCTGTATTTCAGGTCCCCAATTCATATGCAGGGTATCAACTTCAAGTGAGAAGGGCTTGAATGAACAATGAGGTGCACTGACAGCAGCAGGCAAAATCCAAGGTCCATTGCTAGAGCAAGCACTGCATTTCAGGGCTGCAGCAGGCATACAGGAGTGCTACAATAATCGTAGGGGCCGAAATGGCCACGAGGCCACGGAAATTGCCATAGCAACACGTATCAAGATTAAACAAGGCAAGGCACACAAACACTACACTGTGGGAGGCAGCCCATCAGATTTGCTGCACCATACCAGACTGCCCATGCTGGGGACCAGACCCTTGCATCACATGCTGCTGCACATGCCCTTGCATCACGCTTCCATCGCCATGCCCACCCACCATATGCTGCTCTCCCCCTTGCTGCTGCATGCCATTCCCCCCACCATGCTGCTGCATGCCATTTCCGCCCCCATGCTGCTGCATGCCATTTCCGCCCCCATGCTGCTGCATGCCATTTCCGCCCCCATGCTGCTGCATGCCATTTCCGCCCCCATGCTGCTGCATGCCATTTCCGCCCCCATGCTGCTGCATGCCATTTCCGCCCCCATGCTGCTGCATGCCATTGCCCCCCCCATGCTGCATCAGCACGCCCTGAACAACACCCATTTCATGCGAGCTCACCACGTGCGCACCCAGCCCACTCGCACCATTACCACCGTTCATCTGTGTCTGCTGCGCCATGCCTGCCTGCATGCCCATGGGAGTGCCCATGCCATCTACCACCGCCCCTGCCATCGACCCTTGCCCCCCCCCCATGCCGCCCACCATGCCCCCGTCTGCACACACACCACCCACGCCTGCAGGCGCTAGCGCTGCTGCCATCAGCGCACTGCCGCCCACAGCAGCACCGCTGGCGCCCCCCTGCGCCCACGCCTTCATTCTCTCCACGCCCCGCTGCAGCAACTCCCTCCTCTGCCTCTTCCACTTGCTCCCCTCCCCTCCTCCCACTCCGCCCCCGTCATTTCCCTCTCCCGAACCCTCCCGCCCATCTTCCCCCCGCCCCTCCGCACCGGGGGAGTCGTCTGCACCGTTGCCCCCGCCGCCACCACCTGTAGACTGCGCGGACGGCAGCGGGCGGTCGCCGCCAAGCGCCTCGCGGAGCTTGGAGATGGAGCCGGCGAACTCGACGCGCAGGATGTCGTCCCAGAAGCGGATCGCCGCCGCCACGTCGCCCGCGAACTCGCCCGCCTTGCTCTCCACCGCGTGCACTATGCGCATCTGCCCCGCGCGCCCCCCGCCACCAGCCGCGTGCGAGGAGAATCCCGGGCGGCGGAGGCATGGAGAGGGAAGATGGTCGTGCGGGGAGACAGGGAACGGGGGCGACAGAGGGAAGAGACAGGATGGGAGAGGGAAGCACGGGCGAGAACGGTACTGAGAGAATGGGAGCGTGTGGCAAGGGTACGGCAGTCAAGTAGCGAGTGACATCTAACCGTTTGCACGCGCCGCTCACATGGGCCCCAGTTGCGCAAGCGTGCCCGTCCCCCTCACCTGCTTGCGCCAGTACTTGTAGTCGTTCTTATGCCGCCACCACACGCACTTGCGGTCGCGCCGCCGCGCCTCTTCAAGCTTCTCAATGGACGGGCCGCCGTTGAGCCCCTCCTTCCACTCGCGCCACACGTCCTCCACGCGCGCGTCGAGGTTCCGACTCACTTCGTACCCCTCGGGGTTCGCCATCTCCCCCATGTCTCCGCCCATCAGCATTGCGCCGCTCTGCATCGGCGCAAGCCCGGGGGACATCGCGCTCCTCCGCCGGCCGATCCGCCCGCCGCTGCCAGATGCGGGTGTCCCAGAGGCGGGGCGCATGGCGGGCGAGGTGGGCAGCATCCCAAGAAGCGACTGCCCCGCAGACATTCCCGTGGATGTGAAATGCCCGCCCCCTCCTTGCGCGCCCATGCCCATTGCTCCGCCGGGACCAGACAGCGGGGTTTGGAGGGGAGACGGGGAAGGGCCGCCCAAGGAGAAGCAATCGGGGGGGCTGGCGCCGGGCATGAGCGTGGCGGTGTGCAGGGGGGTCAGCGCGGGGTCGCACGCGCCCATCAGCGACGGCGACCCCGACAGCGACGACCCGCCCAGGGGGGGTTGTTAAATGGAGGCGGGCCGAGCTGCGCGGTATGCGGCGCCATTTGCGCTTGATGTTGGAGATGCAGGGGCGAGGGGAGCGCGGGCGAGGAGAAGGCGTGCGAACCTGAGAGACGAGTGCGGGGAAAGAGGGATTCAAAACGGGGCGTAGAGGGGCCGGCAAAGTAGAGGAGAGAGTTTGCAGAGGGAACGTAGTGGGGGGGTGGGGGGGGGGAGAGGAATTGTGCGAAAGTGATGGGGGTGTTTTGCATTCCCCGTCGATCGAAGAGCCACCTACCCTTCTGCGCCCTCCGAATCCTACCGTCGCCGGGCCGCACGCACTGCCTTCCGTCGAGCCCTCACCACACGCCGCACCTGGGGATGCCATCATATTGGGCGCTGGGAAATCCGCGAAGGCGATCTTCAAGAAGATGGTTTCCTGGATGCGCAGCTGTTCCTTCTCCTTCCACAGGCAATTCCGCATCCGGCGATGGTCGTCCACTCGCTCTCGATCGCCCGCCTTGGCTGCCTCGTCCAGCTCGTGCGTCGCCCGCGCCAGCTGCTCCTCCACCGTGTGGATGTCGCGCCGCACTCGCAGCAGCTCGCTACGCGCCTCGTCGGCTCGCGCGCCCATAGCTGCAGCGCTGGCACGGGCGGTACGTCAGCGATGCTGCAGCGCGGAGGAAGAGAAGGGCGCCAGTGGAAGCGAGGAAACAAATGCGCTGCGCGACCAGGAGACACAGCCACGGCACGGGACGAAGTAGGCAGGAGTGGAAAATAATAATGGAGCTAGATTTTACAGGATCGTATGGAGGAAATGCATTATTAGCTCTACGTAAGTCTAAATTGCAAAATGGTGGGGAAGCTCCAAGGGCACAATAAACTGGCGAAGCTCCAAGGGCGGTGGCGGAAGCGGGAACTAGGAGATAGATCTGGGCGGCAGGGTGCATGGAGGGAGGGGAAGGGGGGGTGGGGCGTGGAGCGGAGTTCCGAGAGATTGGGGCGGACTTTTGTCGCAAGCACGGGTGGGGTGGGGGGCGAGCGGAGCTGCAAAGTGAATTCGCACGGTCGCACACACCGCAGGGTCAGCTGCGCTGAGCATCCCGACTTCCCATTGGACGGCGGGATTGACTGGGAAAGGAGTGAACAGTTCAGGATATCGTGCGACGTTTGCGACGCCGCACTATCGCATGTCTTCGAAACTGGGTACGTGTTGGTCGCAGCGCATGGTGATTCTAGAAGGCGAATTGGTTGTAGGTTCCACGCTCTTCCGTCTTTGTCACCCTAAATTTCTTAATACTTTCTGTACAGAAACTGCTTGTATGATTTGTAAATGATCTGCGTGTAGCTCGGCCACGCGTGATGTGCAGGATGACATGCAATTTCGCAATGGGCACTTCGAGTCGCACATTGTCTGCAATTCGAGTTTTTATGAGCAAACAGCCTCCTATCTCCCCAATTTCCCACCATCTTTCCATTGCGTTTCGCACACACCTCCTATTTTCAAGTACCTTCTCTTCCCTCCACAGTGCGAGGTTTTCCGGGCTAAGCTTCGGCAGTCTGACGTCAGCTGGTAGTTTCTTTTCCGCCATGTCTTCCGCATTGATTTCAAGGGCAAGACTCGCCCGCAAGATCTTATTACGTCTGTCGAGGGCCCGGCAGGTGCACAAACAATGGTTACCTAATGACACGCTGCTCCCTGATTTAGGAGAGACTCGCGACTCGTTGGCCGCCATGCTGCCGCTCGCCTGCGCTCCACAATTTTCGGTCAAATTCGATGCCTCCATCTATCCGCGTTCTCCGTCGCCATGCGCGAGAGCGTTCCTGGCAAATGGTCTCCGTCCAGCCTTGGCACCGCCAGCAGCGGCAGTCGCGTTCACCACGACGTCCTCGGGTGAAAATACTCCCTCGGTGCAGGCTGCAGATGTCGCAGACTCGCCGGTATCTAGCGCCAGCAAGGGCGATCCTTCGGATTCCATCGAGGTGCAACTGGCCGCGCCCCCCACGCCGTTCCACTGCGACCCGCCGCCGCCCCTCGTCCGCACCACGCCTCGCGAGCTGCTGCGTCTGTTCCACGACATGACGGTCATTCGCCGCGCCGAAATCGTGTCTGACCTGGTGCGCCACCCCGCTGCTATGTCAAAAAATGCCTCCAGGAAGCGTAGCGTGATAACTGACTCGTCGTCGTCTCGCACACGAGATTCGGTTTCTTCTCGTCGTCCTCTGCCTCGTCTGACATCATCCGTATCATCGCTCCATATTCCTCAACCTCACTGGCCCCCGAGCAACGGTGTGCTTGCAGCTGTTCAAGGAGAGGGCGGTGCGCGGGTTCTGCCATCTGTACGACGGGCAGGAGGCCGTGGCCGTGGGCATGGAGGCCGCCATGGCGCCCCACGACGCGCTCATCACGGCGTACCGCGACCACGGATTCTTCCTCTCCAGGGGGGCTCGCTGCAGGTGATCGCGGCCCGATTTACAGCTGGAAGTGAACGCTGCACTTGCTGGACTCACCGTACATTCTTGACATGTATGTGCGATTCTCCTCCTTTCGGCAATCCCCGCGCCACAGGGGCTGTTCGCGGAGCTGATGGGGCGGCGCGATGGGTGCGCGCACGGCAAGGGCGGGTCCATGCACCTGTACGGCGTGGCGCGAGGCTTCTACGGCGGGTGGGGCATCGTGGGCACGTCGCCGCCGCTGGGCGCGGGGCTGGCTCTGGGGCAGAAGCTGGCGGGGCGGCAGGGGGAGGGCGTGACTGCCGCCGTGTATGGTGACGGCGCTGCCAACCAGGTGGATGGACAGAGAAATAGTTGTACAAATAGTGCTTGCTCCGGTAAGAGCGGCGGGGGCAAGAATACAGAACCGCTGTGGCATGACATGGCACGTGGCATGGCATGGCATGGTACTGAGCTCCGCATGTGTGGTCTCTCCATGCATTGCTTGCACCGTGCTCCCGTGCGCCCCACAGGGCCAGGTGTACGAGGCGATGAACATGGCAGCACTGTGGCGCCTGCCAGTGGTGTTCGTTGTCGAGAACAACCATGTGAGTTGCGACACCCATCCGCTTCTAGTCATTCACCTGCGTTTGCACTCTACTGCCCATGAAGTGCAACGTTCCTGCGGATTAGAGGTAGTGTTTCCAGTCAGTGCCATCTCGGTATGCAGTTAGTCCTCCCATGACGCGAGTCACCCCCTCACATGCCCCTCTCCTGGTGTGTGCAGTACGGCATGGGCACCTCTGAGCGGCGTGCATCAGCGCAGACAAGCTTCTTCGACCGCGTCAACTACATCCCTGGCCTGCTCGTGCGCACACCCCACTGCACCTGCCCATGCACATGCTTTCTGGCTAATTAGAGTACTGTGGCTTGTGTCTCACACGTGAGCTGAGGGCGCCTGCCTCTCTGCTCTCTACTGACCGTGCATGCGTGCGTGCATGAGTGTGCAGGTGGATGGCATGGACGTGCTGGCAGTCAAACAAGCCATGGAGTATGCCAAGGAGCATGCCATCGCCAAGGTGCACACTCACATCACACCTGCCTGCTCCCCATCAACATTACGCACTTTACTCCCCTCCACGATTTAACTCTGATGTGCCCTCCAAGGCTTCTCCCAGCCTCTGCTGCTTTACTCTTACCGTATCCTCCCCATCCATGTGCCCTCACCTCACCCGAACGACACGTTGCCATGTGATGTGCGTGTGTGTGGGTGGGCAGGGTCCCATGGTGCTGGAGATGGACACATACCGCTACCATGGTCACTCCATGTCCGACCCTGGCAGCTCCTACCGCCAGCGCACCGAGATTCAGCAAACCCGCCGCGCGCGCGACCCCATCGAGCGAGTGCGACGCCTTATACTAGAGGTCAGGCATGATGCTGTGAGAGGGCTTGGCTAGTCGCACCAGCTAGAGCTCCAAGCCGACATTCACTTGTTGATATGAACAATGTCACAAAAGGTATTGCTTTTTATTTTATTTGCCATGATTTCATGCATTCTAATCACAGATTTCTACCCATTTTCCTCCCCCCCAACTGCCAGCATAAAGTGGAGAGCGAGGAGGGTCTCAGGCAGGCAGAGAAGAGGGTTAGAGCAGAGGTGGATGCAGCAGTGAAAGCTGCCAGAGATGCAGCAGAGCCCAGTGAGGAGGACTTATGGCAACGTGTCTATAAGCTGGACAAGGGCATGGTGTTTACCGCTCCGGTTGTGAGTGAACAGAGGGTGGAGATGCCATAGATAGGCCAAGCAGAGCAGATGCACGTGGCATCACTTGTGGGAGACACGGTTGACTTGTGCTGAATGGACAAATGGAACTGATGCAAGGAGTGTCAGCTTCAGCTGGCATGCCTACAAGCTTTAATAGCCAATGTGGCTTTGTTTCCTCCCAGCACTGAACACATCCCCGAGTTGTCAATCTACATGCCTAACTAGGGTTAGAAGTTAGCAACTCATGACTGTCAGTAAGGCTAGTCAGCAGCAACAGCAGTCGGTGCTCTGAAATTGCACTGCTGGAGCAGAGGATTGTCGTATGGCAAATATCGCGTCCAGAACCTTTGGTAGACGGGGATGGCGAGTTCCAGCCACGGTTTGGCATGGCCATTATAATGAATCACGGCTGCTCGCTGCACAAGTCCAACGTCGACGGTGCTCTTGCTGCCCAGGCCCAACACCTGCCACCGCTTGTCCAGAGGCTCTGTTGCGTTGTAGAACGTCAGTAGACCAGGAGGAAGGGTGCCCAGCTTCCAGAGCGAGCGGTCCTCATTCTGAGCAACACAAGAACGAAGTCATAGTTAGCACGTGGCAAGAGCAGTTGAGATTCAAGAGGGATGTTCAGAATTGTGAATCCAATCATCAAGCAACTGGTGCCAACCTTATCTTGCCAGAAGTGGTACTTGTCGGTATAGTTCCCCCGCCGCCATGCAGCCAGGTTGAACATGTTCATTCCGAAGGCCCATCCGCACCCCTCAGGGTCGAAGTCAGCCAGAAGGGGACTGGAAAAGTTGAGGTACGTCTTGAATCGGTGAAACACCTTCCCGCAGGTCTCAACAGCAAGGTTCACCTTGCCATTCATGGGGATCTGAAGGACAAGATTTGGGGAAACAAAGCAATTTCAATAGGCAGCATGAAGAATGGACCAAAAAGCTGTTGGCCGTCTACACAATCGATTCGTGAATGAATGCGAGTAGCAGTGGGGATGGGGACTTTGAATACCTTCCACAGTTCTGTCAGGTCTTGCTGCACAACCACGTCGTCGTCCAGGAATAGGATCTTATCCAGCTGAGGAAATATCCGCGGAAGGTAGAAGCGCAGGTGGTTGAGGATGGACAGGTACTTTGGGGTGTACTTGAGGTCCACGTAGTCCTCCTTCGCGTGCGTTGCGCCGACTTTGGACGCCATAGACGCTTGGAAGTAGTAATCGCGCATGGCCTCAGATTCGATTTGCCTCAACACAGGTACATACGAGGCGTTGATCCACGGATATTCGTCCAAGGAGCGAACCTGCAAACGAGAGGATGCAGCAGCAGGTGAAGCCGCAGCAACCGGAATTAGAATACTGTTCAGAGGGCAACATTCAAATGGGGTATAGGAAGATCCCGGAAGCGTACCTCGAGAGCCATGTTCCCGCGTGGGGGGTTGAGACTGAACCAGGCCTTCATGGCGGCGTGTAGTTCATCCTGTCGGTGATGACGTGGAATACATGCTCCGACGGCTGCACGCGTTCAAGAATCACATTCAGCGGTTAGCCTCGAGTCCTCCTCATGGAATTAAAAAAGAGAGAGAAAGCATGCACGCTGGCACCTACGTTGGCGGCGTTTGATGCTGTTGAGTTCACGACGACGGCAACGGCGACGACATTGTCGGAAAACAAGGCGTAATGGTGGAAGTTGGGGTCAGAGAGCCTAGGATCAACCCTGTCTGTCGTCATGAGCTCGGGGTGTGTGCTGTGGACCATGGTTAGGCGAAGCGACAGACAGTGCAGCGGCTGCGGAATAGCGCGAGAAGCTATTTGGCTGAAAACCATGCTCTGCAGAAGCATGTTTTTCGTCTGCTGCTCCGCCGCCTCCAGCTTCAGCTTCAACCTGCAACACAAGCGCATGATCAATCTTACTCCCTGGCACATGACAAGCCAAAAACGCATTTTAGCGCCTCGTGCATGCTCCCTACGCACCTGGACAAAGCTCTCCCTTCTCGAAGCGGTCGTTTCCGCTTCTGCTTCGGACGCGCTTCTTCGGGCACTGCGATCGCGTCGCGTGCCCCGCCGGCGTATGCCTGGTCTAGAAGGCTTAGGCATCGGTGCACCTCCTGCTTCACGCGCTCCATAAGAATCTCATCCTGCACCTCGTCTGCGATCGTCAAATACGACTTGGCAGAAAGAAAACACTCTACTAGCTTCGAGCTCGACGGCGGCCGTGCGTCGCCGTGCCCGCTTCTAGAGACGCTAGGCTTTGGTCGTTCCGTACTGCCGTTATGGTGTCCGGCAACAGCAACGTGCATCCGTCTGGACAACCGGGTTCGTAAGCTGGCGGAGGAGTCGCCGCTTGATCCAATCTGCAGCAGACAAACGGAAGACCTTTAGCGTGTCGATATTTGAGTTAAGAACGTCTAAATTGGCTGACACGAATCTGAGGGCGCACCTTCTCACGGTATAGGCCGTTGTTGCCTGAAAAGTAACGCACACCGGAAAGACCATCTGCAGAAAACAAAGAAGCGATATTGGTTTTTGCTGAAGTGGAATATTTCTTAACGTCCTGAAAGTCCATTCATAACGACTCACCACTAGTGCCTGGGGCGCTCGACAACAAATCCCGTGCGCGCAGGAAAAGAAGTTGCTGGGTGACAAGTAGAACTAAGGAAACCGAAATGACTGTTCGCACAAGTCCGAAGACTCCTCTAGCAAGTAGTAATCGCTTCGCCTTTTCATCAAAGGTACGGACTTCATAGTGTCCTGGTCGTCTCTGTGGGCCAGCTGAGTGGCAAGGAGAGCGACCATTATCTAACTAAAAACCTTCTACAGAACAGACAGATAGATGCTACGAGGGTAGGCGCTTAGCGCCATTCTCAAATAACATGATAACCTCGAGAATCTCTGATTTCTGGCCTCGAAAACTCTTCAGCTCCACATCCCTCCTACTGCTTCCTAGCAAAACGAGTTTCGAGAATCGTGGTTCGCATATTTCACCCAACCAACACCCCGCCCCCATCCACACACATGCCGTTTCGCCCTTGGCGGGGCAACCTGGGAAACGGCTGCGAGGATGTCTTGGTGGGCCCTGCCTGCGGCTAACCTGGGTGTTCCCGTTAGGTTGAGCGGAACCCAGGGG